TGGTAATCACTGTATCTCTAGCTTTGTTACTATCTAAAAATGTTAAATTTTAGTTTACTCCTTGAAATTTGACCTACGGAAACTTGAAACCTACAAACGACAATAAACAGGTAATTTCCTTTCTGACTTTGAATCTACAGCATTGGTTCTCATCACCTCTGACATCCAGTGCCTCCTCCCAGTGTCTGGCTTTGCTTCAATTTTTCACTGAAGTATTTCTCCTTCTTCTTGATCACTCTCTCACTGTATGTTTCCCATTAGCTGGTTCACGAATGTCTGTCAGGCTCTCAATGCAATTTATTCACAATATTTGTTTTCATTATGATTGGGTAAAAAATTTTATCAATGTAAACTAACAGCACCATGTGTCTTGATGAATGAACCTGAGCTGTTTATCTGTTTAGTGTAATTTTGTCACTTTTATATGTTTTTTCCACTGCCTCTGATTCAGAAATCTCTTACACTTGCTTTGGCCTCGGTTTCAGTCTGAAATATATGTATATATATATATTTTTTTTTTTTTTTTTTAACAAGTTGGCCGTCTCCCACCGAGGCAGGGTGACCCAAAAAAGAAAGAAAATCCCCAAAAAGAAAATACTTTCATCATTCAACACTTTCATCTCATACATAATCACTGTTTTTGTAGAGGTGCTCAGAGCACAACAGCTTAGAAACATATACCTATAAAGACACACAACATATCCCTCCAAACTGCTAATATCCCGAACCCCTCCTTTCGAGTGCAGGCATTGTACTTCCCATTTCCAGGACTCAAGTCTGGCTATATAAAAATAACCGGTTTCCCTGAATCCCTTCACTAAATATTACTCTGCTCACACTCCAACAGATCGTCAGGTCCCAAATACCATTCGTCTCCATTCACTCTTATCTAACACGCTCACGCACGCTTGCTGGAAGTCCAAGCCCCTCGCCCACAAAACCTCCTGTACCCCCTCCCTCCAACCTTTTTGAGGATGACCCCTACCCTGCCTTCCTTCCCCTACAGATTTATACAGTCTCCATGTCATTCTACTTTGATCCATTCTCTCTAAATGACCAAACCAACTCAACAAACCCTCTTCAGCCTTCTGACTAATACTTTTATTAACTCCACACCTCCTAATTTCCACACTCCAAATTTTCTGCATAATATCTACACCACACATTGCCCTTAGACAGGACATCTCCACCGCCTCCTCGCTGCTGCATTCACAACCCAAGCTTCACACCCATATAAGAGTGTTGGTACTACTATACTCTCATACATTCCCTATTTTGCCTCCATAGATAACGTTTTTTGTCTCCACATATACCTTGATGCACCACTCACCTTTTTTCCCCATCAATTCTATGATTAACCTCATCCTTCATAAATCCATCCACTGACACGTCAACTCCCAAGTATCTGAAAACATTCACTTCTTCCATACTCCTCCTCCCCAATTTGATATCCAATTTTTCTTTATCTAAATCATTTGATACCCTCATCACTACGAGGATAGTGAGGCTCAAGTTAGAGTATGTAGGAAAGAGGGAAATTATTTCCCAGTAAAAGTAGGCCTTAGACAAGGATGTGTGATGTCACCATGGTTGTTTAATATATTTATAGATGGGGTTGTAAGAGAAGTAAATGCGAGGGCCTTGGCAAGAGGCGTGGAGTTAAAAGATAAAGAATCACACAAAGTGAGAGTTGTCACAGTTGCTCTTTGCTGATGACACTGTGCTCTTTGGAGATTCTGAAGAGAAGTTGCAGAGATTGGTGGATGAATTTGGTAGGGTATGCAAAAGAAGAAAATTAAAAGTGAATACAGGAAAGAGTAAGGTTATGAGGATAACAAAAAGATTAGGTGATGAAAGATTGGATATCAGATTGGAGGGAGAGGGTATGGAGGAGGTGAATGTATTCAGATATTTGGGAGTGGACGTGTCAGCGGATGGGTCTATGAAAGATGAGGTGAATCATAGAATTGATGAGGGGAAAAGGGTGAGTGGTGCACTTAGGTGTCTGTGGAGACAAAGAACTTTGTCCTTGGAGGCAAAGAGGGGAATGCATGAGAGTATAGTTTTACCAACACTCTTATATGGGTGTGAAGCATGGGTGATGAATGTTGCAGTGAGGAGAAGGCTGGAGGCAGTGGAGATGTCATGTCTGAGGGCAATGTGTAGTGTGAACATAATGCAGAGAATTCGTAGTTTGGAAGTTAGGAGGAGGTGCGGGATTACCAAAACTGTTGTCCAGAGGGCTGAGGAAGGGTTGTTGAGGTGGTTCGGACATGTAGAGAGAACGGGGCGAAACAGAATGACTTCAAGAGTGTATCAGTCTGTAGTGGAAGGAAGGCGGGGTAGGGGTCGGCCTAGGAAAGGTTGGAGGGAGGGGGTAAAGGAGGTTTTGTGTGCGAGGGGCTTGGACTTCCAGCAGGCATGTGTGAGCATGTTTGATAGGAGTGAATGGAGACAAATGGTTTTTAATACTTGACGTGTTGTTGGAGTGTGAGCAAAGTAACATTTATGAAGGGGTTCAGGGAAACCGGCAGGCTGGACTTGAGTCCTGGAGATGGGAAGTACAGTGCCTGCACTCTGAAGGAGGGGTGTTAATGTTGCAGTTTAAAAACTGTAGTGTAAAGCACCCTTCTGGCAAGACAGTGATGGAGTGAATGATGGTAAAAGTTTTTCTTTTTTGGGCCACCCAGCCTTGGTGGGAATCGACCAGTGTGATAATAATAATAAAAAAAAAAAATAAAAATAATCACCTTACTCTTTTCTATGTTCACTTTCAACTTTCTACCTTTACACACACACTCAAACTCATCCACTAACCTTTGCAATTTTTCTTTAGAATCTCCCATGAGCACAGTATCATCAGCAAAAAGCAACTGTGTCAATTCCCATTTGGTATTTGATTCCCCATAATTTAATCCCACCCCTCTCCCAAACACCCTAGCATTTACTTCTTTTACAACCCCATTTATAAATATATTAAACAACCATGGTGACATTACACGTCCCTGTCTAAGACCTACTTTTACTGGGAAGTAGTCTCCCTCTCTTCTACACACCCTAACCTGAGCCTCACTATCCTCACAAAAACTCTTTACAGCATTTAGTAACTTACCACCTATTCCATATACTTGCAACATCTGCCACATTGCTCCCCCTATCCACTCTATCATATGTCTTTTCTAAAGTTAACTAATTATAATTCTTAAAAACCTTCGTACTTTTTTTTCCCTAACTGATAGGTTAAACAATAGTTGTGTGTAACTGCAGACCCATTTGTAGATACAGTATAAGAATAGAGCAATACTTGTGGTGTCTCATCTTCTCTGATTAGTTTGTCATAGTTTTTAAATATTCCAGTAGTTATATTTACTACTGCTATTCTTCCATTCCAGTAATCCATTACAATACTCTATTTGCAAACAAACACTTTCTCAGTGTCCTTTTACAAACTATTTTCTTAGTGTATTGTATATTTATGGCCTCATGTTTGCCCTGTTCATGGCATTAAAATGTCTATATAGATTTTTCTACATCTTTATGATTTTATGTGCTTATGTCTTCACTTCTCCAATTAGCCAGAATGGGAGATTTCAGTCTATCATTCTGTTAGTGTCTGCATACCTTTTCTAATTTATTTGCATGTTTATGCATATCAAAAACACCACCACTGCTGCATATTCCAATTTTGGTTCAATTTATATCATAAACAGCATTCCTTTGGCATTTCATTAGACAGACATCTAAAAATTATTTTCAAGTTTGCCTATGCAGCATAAGCTTCTTGTGGAATCTGATGAAAGATCTGTTGATGATAATTACTGCCAGGTCTCTCTCTTTTTGGCCAACACACCATTCATATTCATGTGACTTACTGGCGCTTCTTTGCATTTCCACTAGTGTACAGTGGAACCTCAGTACTCAACCTTAATTCATTCCAGAAGGCTGTTCGAGTGCTGATCTGTTCGAGCATCGAACAAATTTTTCCCAACCAATTTTCTTTTTGGTTGGGTGTTATCACTAATCTTTGTAGGCCCCATGGTGACTTATTTATACGATATAACAAAACACCGAAAAATGTGAAGAAACACGAAACAGTTTACAGCAAAGTTCTGGCAGGTCATGTTTGTTCGGTTGAGTGCCGAGCCGTGTTTCAGTAGGGAGCTGTTCAAGTACCAAGGTTCCACTGTATATGGAATTTTGTCTAGATTAAATTTTATCATTCATCACTATTTGCTCAATTTATTAAAATCCTCTTGTAGGGACTTAGTTATTTTTATTACACATGTTGCCGAGGATTTTGCATCTGTAAATATACTCACAGTTATATTTATTTCTTTGGGCAAGTCATTTTAAACTGAAACATCATGGCAAACACCAATCTGTATGGGACCATGCCAGTAGCATTTTCCTTTAACACAGGAGTGATTTATATTACAAGTCTCTTGTAATATAAAACATTACAGATGTTAAGTTTTTCATATGAAGTAATATATTATTCTAATCAGTTATATAACATCAAATAACATTAGTAAAAAACAATGAAGTGTTCCATATTAGTATAGTACTCACTTTGAGCAAGTACAAGTTATGTACAGTACTTGATTAATTAATATAATCATGATACTCTAATAATTCATAATAAAGATACTAAGCAAGTTGCTCTGTAGTGATTTAGGAGAGACATTCAGTTCACTATAAACAAAGGAGTGTATTTGCACGTTGATCTTTTTGGTTGCATTGAACTTGTATTTTGTAGCTGCTTTTATACAAAATCTACAGTTGCATCATGCTGGTTTAGTTTATATCCATTATCCATAAATTAGTAAAGAAAAAGAACTTGAATGCATTTTCTAAATAATGAACAAGATTTGAGTACAGGATCCACTGTGGTTATTTTCTTGGCTTTGATGGAATACATTTATCCTCATTTAGTTATTTTATAATTAAGTGTATAATACCAGAGCTGTAGTTATTAAACATATTTCATATAAATGTTACAGGTTCACCTGTGTGGAAGCCTCGTGATGTCTTCGCCTCATCTGGTGGCAGCTCTGGTGGGGGAGGAGGTGCTGGCCAGCGAGGAGAATCTTTAACACTTCCTCGTCCAGGAAAGGCCAGCGGCCGTGAGGACCACTTCCTGGTGTACGAGGAGTATGGCGGCAACATCTATATGAGTAGTAAAAAGGACACAGGTTCTACCAAGACTCTTCACTGTTGAACTACTGCTGTTCCCCAACCCAGCAGTCCTCACCACTAACAGCTGCCTCCCCTCAACTGACTACATAGCAGTCACTTACTAACAACGTGCCACTCATAAATCAGCTTAGACCCTCCCCTAACACTTAACGACATCCTGCTGCTCACACTCACTGTGGATTCCTCCTCGCACGAAACTTTTTACCCTCAGCATGTTGCTGATTCCATTTACTTTTTCTTTTAATTCCATAACCTTTTATAGGACTTAGGAAAAGCTTGATGTAGTGGAAGAGAACAGGATCTGTGTAGCATGATCCTGATGCCCACCATTCGTTTTGTGATCAATATTGGTCGCATCTTAAACGCTTCCAATGCGGCCATGTTCGAGAGTTACTCGTGTCGCAAAAACATATACCGTATCTTTTTAACCTTAAGTTTCAAAATGAACCGTGTACAATAAACGTTATGGTTATTCAACAATTCATATGTTGTAAGATATGAATTCTGAACGAGGACTAGTACAGTATTATCGTTATGCAGAAATTTTAGATTTTAAAAGTGGTGCTCCTGCATTTAAGAACTCGAGTGAGAGAAGGTTGTTCTGAAAACTACTGCAGTGACTGTGCTTCAGCTATTTCATTGTGTTGTGACTAAGTTGTTAAGGTCCCAAACTTGTTTGTCCTATGCTATGGAAGGCTTAGTCATGAACCTTGGTCATTTGTCTGTTACAGGAACTCAAATCATACAAGTTCATAAAGAGAACATGAACAACACTCACACTTGAGTACAGAATTTTAACTTATAGGTACAAGAAATAGAAATAAATACTGAAGGATATTTTCTGCAAGTATCAAGTCTCATTGTTGCTATACTGGAGTTGTTGCTTGTACAAAATTATGTGTAAGGCAATCAGTACTTGTGGAGTTTTGCTTTAGGTTTAGAAAATGAATTTCTAGTTTCATGAATTTTATTTATGAGGATGGCAGGCAGAGTGACAAGCAAGCAATGTCTAGTAAACAACAAGTTTGAAAAGATTTTTTTTTTATACCAAGAAATATTGTGAAAACATTGACCACCTTTCATATAATTATGCCATTTGTTGCAGTAGAGTGGAAAGAGAACTGAATATCAAATTTAACTACATGAGATTCTTGTATGGGCTTCTGCTAATACTGAACAAAATAATTGAAATATAAAAAAATAGTAGTAATGTATAGAAAGTTATCAATCAGAAAGTAAATATGTTTATATAAATTATTAAATATCCATTGATACAAGCTGTAGTCATTATATGGCATCTCACCGCTTTTTGTTCTTTGTTCTCTTACCACATACTTACCCCCCCCTCCTGTCAAATGATGAAACATGAATCATGTACACAAGTTTATATTTTTGGTGGAATAAGTAGGAGAGATTATACTTCATATAGGGTTATCTAATGTTGAAGCACTGAATATATTGTATCTTTTTCAAGATGTTTTGTTATATTGAAAGTACTTCATATATCTTTTAAGGTTCATGAAAACGCATCATTCTCTTTGTATGTATAGTTGTGTAACACCTTCAATAGTTAAAATATTCAGTGCCAAATAATGTTGCTAGTCATTAATAGTCAATAAGCTTACTATAGCTGTGTCAGCTCCAAAGTACTCTTTAAATCATAATGTTTGTGTTCTTAAGCTTAGAATGTAGCGAATGGTTGCGTCTAATTGCTGAGCCTCTGCTAGGCAATCCTTTGCATTACTTCCTTGAGCCTTAAGGATAGTTCATGATGGAACACTCTCTAGCGTAGTAATTCCCAATAATACACTTGTTAGAAGGTTGATATTTTCACTAATTTCTAACAGATGTATTTGAGGCTGCTACACAAATCAATGAGAAGGTTCTATAGAGATCCAGCCACGTCCCCAGTTCCTGAGGCTCATCTGTCGCTAATTTACTCCTGCTTATTAAACCCTGGGTGCTCAAAATTTGCCCAAATAAAATTCATACTTAAAAAGTTAATTATCTTTCAGCATCAGGAAATAAGGTACTAAGACAGTTCCTATACTCTCACTGCATCTGCTGCTTTATAAGTAGAAACCACAAAGTGTGCTTTCCCATTGCATAAATTAAATGCTGCAAGACTACTCCTTCAGAGTCAAATAAAAACAATGGCCACCTCAAAAGATTGGGAATATTTGTTTACAGCAATATTTATTTGTTTGGAGGACATCAAAGAAGCTAGAAATATCTCATTATTTTCATTCTAAAATCTGCAGTGAGTACACAAATATATTCTCGCAGGTTATTAGTGTGATGTATATTGCAGGCAGTGTTGGGGTGAGCCAGGGTGTGCAACATTCTCAATAAGAACCCTGAAGAAGGTAGAGCTATTTCAGCACAATAGTTAACCACTTGTCATTCAAAAAAATTAGGGTGGGTCTCGAGATATCTGATATTTGCTCACATTTGTTAGGAACTTCGAAGATTTGATGCAGTACTGTACTCAAATGTCTCAGAAAATGAAGACAAGACCCAGTGGTCACCTTTGCCCACCCCTTAACACTCATGTTCATCACCTTCACCTTAGCTCCTTCATGAGTCGTTCAGGAAACAAAGTGCAATATGTGCACTGTCCACATCTGTTACCTACACAAATGGACATTTGCACAATTCACTGTATGTAGCTTATTTTTTAAGTAAAAAAATATATTTATGATTATCTTTAGAATTTATTTATGAAGATGTAGAAAGTATGAATAAAATATGTGCAAGACATTCCAGGAGCATAGCCATCAGTTTGAGGAGACTTTGTACGGCCATTTTATACTTGTCATAAGATTTTGCTGTTTATACAGGCAACATGTTGACCCAATGCGCTTTGTGTTTTGCTTTACTGTCTGTGGCTTCCCATCCTCTGGCCACACTACCGCTGACCTCGGCTTACCCTATGTGGCATCAGGACCTTTACCTGCCAGCCATGTGGTCAATAGGCAGCAGAAATCCCACTCAATCTAAGAGTGGTTGCCAGAAAATATCAATTAAGTAGAGATGCTGTTGTTGATTTTCACTTGTTACATGTCTTGGTAACAATGGTGTACATTTCTTTTAGTGTTGTTTGGACATTGTCTAAGTACATTCTAATTAGTGAGTGTCCTTTTGACACTCATTTTCTGAAGATTCTAAAACAGACTGGCAGATGGCCACCCTCCTGTAGAGGCACGTACAATCATTATGTGTAGAGCTCCTGGAAATACTGTACCATACCGCAAATGTCCTTCAAAATGGCTCAATTTCATATGGTAGAAACATCGAATAGCATAGCTCGGGGCCACCTGCCACTCTAGACTTACTGTGACACCACAGCCTCTCGTTAAGAGCTGCTGTAAGGACACTCGACCTCCCTATTCCAGCCCTCACCCATACCCATACCTCTCAAATGTAACTTCATTTGTAATGCTGTTTTGGTCCAATTCTTTGTATCCATTCTTTCTTGAGGTCACTTCATGGTGAGATTTAGGATTTATGTCAATCCTGATATTTCAAAACATGGGTAAATCTAGGCTATTTGCAAACAGTATTATTCTAAAAATATATGGTAAGTTATTTAAAACTATTTATTTAAAATTAATTTATCATTAATATTTTTTTTGAACAGATTTAGCTCTACCTGAACTATTCTCCCATAAATTTTATTCTTGCAGTAGTGTATTGTACATTTTTTACTATTCTTAATTATTTTAAAGCTATGCTTCCATGAAAACATTTATGTATATGCATAACCCTATTTTTTCAATCCCATACCTACCTCAATTTGGTATTACTAAGACTTTCATACAAAATCCCTCTCTAACCCCTGAGCAATTTCTAACTTTTTATGCTGGTAGTTTTTATTACATTCATGGGGTCCAATAGCACCTGGGAGGGATGGGATGCAATCAGTTTGATCCAAGAAAGGAGAGGTCAGGTCCAATTCCTTGGATCAAGAGCCCCTCATTGGCATTAGGGAAACACTCTTGAGGGAACTGGGCAGTAAAATCTAATCCAGAGTTAATCATCAGTACTCTCCCTCATTTTGCATGCTCAAAGTATGCATGGTTTATTTTTGTAAATGCTGGTTTCACCAAACTTGGTACAGGAAACAGTGTTTGATGTACTGTGTTAAAAGAAAGAAAAACTCATGGTGTAAAACCATGTATTCCTTGACCATGCAAAACAAGGAATAATTGTACAAAACTTACAAGTATATAAATTCAGCCTATAATTATAGTCTGACTGAACTTAATTTGTATAGTTTCTTAACAAAAGCTTCATCCCAAAAATAATCCTAATTTTTTTTTTTATGCGGTTTCATCATTGCAATAATTTGCACTCTCCAAATCAATGCCCTGCCTTTTCCTAACTTTTTATGTCAAAGAAATATTACTTTTAATGATTATAAGCTCAGAGATCTTTATTACTGTCCCATCAAGGTTCATTTCAATCACAATCACTCTACCATATACCTAATTCTGGGTATGTCTATAATGTGCCGTTGTTTGAGGTTCATTTAGGTACCTATAACGTTTGTTAACTTTTCTACCTATCCCTAACTGTGACCATATTTCACCTTTCCACTACTCCACTTTATCATCGTATACACATCCTGAATGTTCTCATTAAAATAATACTGTAATAGCCTATGCACTTTTTTTTTGTTGTTGTATTAAACCTTGAGCCCTCACCCCTTGATCCTTTATGGAGTATCCTGACTCCTATTGTTAAAGATCTCCTTGTCTTTGAGTACTGCCATACATATGGGGCAATATTCCTGGAACAAAGTTAATTTCCTTCATGTCATCTATGTTTATTTCATAAAAAGAGGCAAATACAAGGTTCTAAATGATGCCAATCCATAGTCTGTAACACATGACTACAAAAAAACAGAGCATATTTAAGGTGTATTGTAATCAAGTGGTGCAGACCAGCATTGAATTGCAACCCTGTGTTAGTCTCTCTCTTTGGTAACCATGACGCTCCAGGGAGGGCTTCAAACAACGCTCAACCCTTCTATACAATACTCAATAAGTTATCCCGTTTTCAGACTGCAAGTAATATCATAGTTTGCTTACTTGTGAAGATATTTGACTTTATATCTTAGGAGAACAAAGTTACATCTGAAAGTGTTCAATAATTCATGAAAGGGTTATATTGTATGATAGAAATGTATACAGACTAATGTATTGTGTTAATATCATTAAACTATTTATACAATGCATGAATCTCTTATATCCCTAACTTACTAAACAACATAGATGCTGTTAACATGCCTGTGAATAATAATTCTGAGAATACTGCTATTAAATGCTGAATGTTTTACATATACCCACCTATAACTTACCCTTTAGAAAATATTGCTATAAAAATATTGAATAGTTTACATAGAACAAAACTAACTCACCTTTGCTGTAGTGAATGATGCTATCCATAAGCTCACTGTGCAGGCTTTGTAGCACTCCTGTACACCAGTTGACCATCCCAATCTTGCTGCTTATCTGGAAAGTGCGCGCTTGATAAAATTTTCCTGTAGAAGGATGTTTTACTTAAGTGTCCTTACAATTCTTCAAAATATATACTTCTTGGCCAATTTTAATACTTCAGGCAAATAACTGTACTTAAACTTCTTATAAAGACAATTAATTTAATTTTATATTCTTTAACTGCATTTATTTATTTAGGCTCATGTCAATTTGTGGGACTCAAATCTGCAATCCTAATATATTGGCCAAGCTGAAACATTACAAATAGTGACTACAGAATGTACCAATGTTGGTGCAGTTGGAAGAGTCACAGTTTCAAATGTCTCAGTGTTGCCAAAATACAGTAGAACTCCCATATCCACCGATTTGGTATTTGCAGTTTCAGTTATCCGTGGTTTACTGTGGCCCAAAAATCTCTCTTAACTTTGCACAAAAATAGAGAAGCTGGCAGTTCTTCAAAGCCAAAGAGAATCCGTACAGTGCTTACCATCAGTGAAAAAGTGATAATTCTCCACTTATTGTGCATAATTTATCAGGACTTATCCACAGCAGGTCTTTGGAACATATCCCCCACGGATACGGGGTCCTACTGTATAAGGATTGTAGGTTTGAGTCCCACTGGGCGAGATGACATTGACCCATTAACTGTGGCATATCTTAACCCTTTGACTGTCGCGGCCGTATATATACGTCTTACGAGGTACCGTGTTTGACGTATATATACTCAAATTCTAGCGGCTTCAAATCAAGCAGGAGAAAGCTGGTAGGCCCACATGTGAGAGAATGGGTCTGTGTGGTCAGTGTGCACCATATAAAAAAAAAACCTGGAGCACGCAGTGCATAATGAGAAAAAAAAACTCCGACCATTTTTTTAATTAAAATGCCGACTTTGTGGTCTATTTTCATATAGTATTTATGATTGTATTCTCATTTTCTTTTTCTCATTTGATAGAATGGAAAACATATTATAGAAATAGAGGTGATTTTGATTGATTTTACTATAAAAAGAACCTGGAAATGGAGCTCAAAGTAGGGGAAATGTTTGATTTTTGCCAATGTTCAAAAGTAAACAAATGACATCATTGTCCAATAAATGTCCAACTAGCCATTCTAATATGCAATCATGAATGGGTTGATGTTATTTATTGTTATTTATGTTATTTATTGCAATAGTCTACATAATAGTAAGTCTTCTATTTTTTGTTTGAATAAAAATTCAAAATAGAAAGCAAGAGTAATATCAGAGGGGCCTGGAGACATGACTGATGAACAAAGAAAATGTTATTTTAGAGCCAGGAATGTCTGCATTGTTCATTCTGGACCTTATTTTGAAATTGTCATATTTTTTAATTTTTGTGAAATTGGCCAAATTGCAAATTTCTGATTACATTATTGGGTAGTTGAAATCGGTAAATGGGCAGTTTCTTGTACTCAATCGATAGAAAATGTGGAGTTCTAAAGAAATAGCTATGAGTTTGGTCAACTGGAACAAGGGAATTAGCCGAAAATAGGGATCAAAGTGGGCGAAATCGCCGATTTGTAAATATCGCCGTTTTTTTTGGTGTCATTACAATCGGGAAAAGATTCTCTATCATTTCATAAGAAAAAATAATTTTTTTTTTTTTTAAATTTTGCGACACCAGGAGACACCTCAGGATTGGGGGTTGCGACAGTCAAGGGGTTAAATTAAATTTCCAGTGTGTAAGGACAAGATTACAGATTGAAAGTGCATTTTCATGAATTGAATAAGAGTAAAATGAGGTCAATCTGATAAAAACTTATGATTTTATGGAGTGTTGAAAGTGGCAAAAAAAAAAATTATCACTCACTGGCAACAGTGGCATAATGCACCAGCGATATTTACATTTTACAGTTCAATGACACCAAGTTAGGTTTTTCATATTCATATTTGACTTGCATTATTTTCAACTTACAATGGGTTCATCGAAACATAAGCCCATCATAAGTCGAGGGACACCTGTAGCATGTTAGAGGTGGAGGAAAGTGGTTTTTGTAATTTGACATGTTGCAGAGTGAGCAAGGTAAACATTTATAAAGGGATTCAGGGAAAACTGGCTAGTCAGTCTTGAGCCCAGAGGTGAGAAGCACAGTGCCTGTACTCTTAAAAGAGGAGTGGTGGTGTTCTGGTTTGAAGAGTCATCTAAACTATGATGTTGGCACCCTCCTGACAACAACAGCAATTGAATGTGTGACAGTGAAAGTTTCCTTCTTCATTAGGCCACCACCTCAGTGGAAGATGACCAGAGTGTTAAGTATAAATTGTATATATATATATATATATATATATATATATATATATATATATATATATATATATATATATATATAAATATATATATATATATATATATATATATATATATATTATATATATATATATATAAAATATATATATATATATATATATATATATATATATATATATATATATATATATATATATATATATATATATATATACACACACACACACACACACACAGTGCTTGTCACGGCATTATGCCAGGTGAATGCCCTGGCATAATGCCGTGACGAAAATCAAAGGCCTACCATACAGGAGGGTCTTTTTTCACCAGTGCATTCTGCTGGGTAGCAGCCGTAAGCATGACGTCTCGGCCTGCCGCCACACTTTACAGTATCTTATTGCTCACGTGGCTGCTGAGGTGAGAGGAAGTATTGCAATGTTGTCTCATCTGCCCCATCTTTTGTCCGGTGTTCCCTTTGGTTTTGGAGCTATACATGTTTGATTATGGGTAAAAGGAAGTCTTTAACACTTGAAGCTATAGCTCAAATCACAGGGCTTCACAAAGCTGGGCACCACACGAAAGATTTAGTGGAGAATGTTAGTGTGTGTGTGAGTGTTTAGTGAGGAATTGGGTACAGTGTTTCAAGGCTGGTGGTGTCGAGTTGTCATCTGCCACACTTCGGCCTGGCCCCTCAAAGAAGACACAGTTAAGGTATGAACAGATGTCTTCTTCGAGGGGCCAGGCCGAGGTTTGGCAGATGGTAACTCGGCACCACCACCAGCCCTGAAACGCTGCACCCAGTTCCTCACTGAACACTCACACACACTAACATTCTCCACTATTTCTTTCGTCTGGTGCCCAGCTTTGTGAAGCCCTATGATTTGAGCTATAGTTTCAAGTGTTAAAGACTTCCTTTTACCCATAATCAAACATGTATAGCCCCAAAACCAAAGGGAACACCGGATAAAAGATGGGGTGCACAAGAGACAACAGTGCAACACTTCCTCTCACCATAGCAGCCATGTCACAAGTGAGCCTCAGATACGCCGCCATTAGTTGGTGCAGCGAACGCCACAACATCAGCCCAGCATCCCAGCGTTTTGTGTTTTTTGTGCAGCTATTTTGCCAAATTTCTTTTTTCTAACCATGGGTCCTAAGAAAGTAAGTGCAAAAGAGAGTGCTGAGAAGAGGAGGTTGATGATGTCCATTGAATTAAAGCATGAAATCATAGAAAACACGAGAAAATCACTTTTGTTGCAGTGTTTTCCTTATGAAACTAGTGATCTAGTGCAGTTAGCCTCACAAACACTCCATTGTCTCTTATAATAACACCTCAGAAGGACAAGAATGGGAAGATATGGTCAGCATTAATTATTTTTGCCTCGGGAGTAGCCGCCACCACTCGTCACATGCAGTGGACCCCTGGATTTCGTAGTCGTCGGATTTCATAATTTTCAGAAAGAGTCACTTTTTTTCGTCAAAACATTGGCTCGGTAATCATCATTGAGCTTGGTAATAGTCATTCATCCTGAACAGGCAGTGTGCTATTGTTTACCAACCAGTGAGGACAATCCCACGCATTCATACGATACATTTCGTATTCCATTCTTTTTAGTGCTTGTAACTGCTAAATAAGCCATCATGGGCCAAAGGAAAGCTTCTGGTGCCAGCCCTTTGGTAAAGAAGGTAAGAAACACTAGAATTCAAGAAAGATATCATTGCAAAATATGAAGGTGGAGTGCATGCCGCCAAGCTGGGCAGGTTGTATAACAAACCCCATACAACCATCGCTTCTATTGTGACCAAGAGAAATAAAATCAAGAAAGCTGTTGTTGCAAAAGGTGCAAATATGCTTACAAAACAGAGCTCGCAAATACTGGAAGATGTGGAGACTTTGTTGTTGGTGTGGATCAACAAGAAACAATTATCAGGAGATATTGTTATGCAGTCAATAATTTGTGAAAAGGCAAGGCAGCTGCACGATCACCTTGTAAAGAAAATGTCTGGAACTTGTGCTGATATTGATGAATTTAAGGCCAGCAATGGCTGGTTTGAGAGATTTAAGAAGAGTAGTCGCATACACAGTGTGATAAGGCATGGTGAGGCTGCCAGTTCTGACAAAAATGCAACTGAAAAATATGTTCAAGAACTGAAGGAGTACATAGAGGCTGAACAATTCAAACCCCAACAAGTGTTCAATTGTGACAAAACAGGCCTCTTTTGGAAGAAAATGCCAAAGAGGACCTACATTACTCAGGAGGAAAAGGCACTCCCAGGACACAAGGCTATGAAAGACAGGCTAACTCTCATGTTCTGTAGTAATGCTAGAGGGTATTTCAAAGTGAAACCTTCACTGGTGTATCACTCTGAAAATCCCAGTGTTCAAGAAAAACAGTGTCACAGAGTAAATTGTGTGATGTGGAAGGCAAACAGTAAGGCATGGGTCACGAGGGACATTTTCCTTGATTGATTCAATGAAGTGTTTGGCCCCAGTGTGAAGAAATACCTCCTGGAAAATAAACTAACTCAAGTGCCTCCTGGTAATGGACAAAACTCCTGCTCATCCTCCAGACCTGGAAGAGCAAATGGTGCAGGAGATTTCTTTCATCAAAGTGAAGTTCTTGCCCCCTAATATCACTCCTCTCCTCCACCCCATGAACCAGCAGGTCATTTCAAACTTCAAAAAACTGTACACCAAAGCAGTGTTTCAAAAGTGCTTTGAAGTGACCTCAGACACTGAATTGACCC